CATTCGCCGGAAAATGCAAGTAAAGTTGCTGGAGAGGAAAATGAGGGTGTGGAAATGGGTTAGGAAATGAAAATGGAATTGCGGTTTCTGGCTCGGTAATTTAACAAACTAATTTGAAGTGCTTGAAGCTAAAAAACATTCCGTTTGCTGCGTTTATCACCAATTTGTAAAAATGGTCTTAAATAGATTTGATTTTGAAAACAAATTTAGAAAATAATATCTTACTAGATTTCAAAGAGATTGATAGAAAATCGATCAACAAATCATTTAAGGTACTCTGATCCAGATTCTGATGAATAATGGCTTGATATAGCTATTACTGTGGGCCATCTTGTGCCTCCTTGGGTTTTTGTTTATTATTTTGAAGGGAGCTCCCCAGAAAACGTAATAAAAAATCGAATAAATGATTTTTTATTTGAAAATAAAACGTTTTTTGTGCAGATTTACGGAGAATTAATCCAAAAATCTTTTAAGGTATTCCGAATCGAGGGAATCAAATTTAAACTGGCAAAGATATAGCCTTCGTTCTGGGTGTCACTATGTTTAGGTGCACTTTTAAAGGGAAACCTGCAGAAAGTTTGAAAAAAAATTTAAAAATGTTTTCCATTCTATTATATTATGATTAATTTTAAAATTTATTGATCAAAACATATTTTACAATAAAATCAACAATTCTTTCAACGCATTTCCCTCAATAATCGGATGATTACTGGCAAAGATATATACTTTATTGTCAGCGATGTTGAGCCTCCATAAATTCTTGTAAACTTTTAAAGCAAACCAGAAAATTTCACAAAAAAATCTAAAAAATAATTTCCGTTTACATCTAAATGCAAAATGACAAAGAATCGATCCTCAATTCGTTTAAGACATTCTGATCAAGAAACAAACGATTATTCACAAGGTTAGGGCTTTCGTAAGCCCTTGTTTAAACATTCTGATAGAGATTCATGAAGAATCGTTTTGCAAATCATTTAAGATATTCCACTCAAGAATCAAGTAAATTTTTAAAGATACAGCCTTTGCAAGGTTAAAATAAAACCGAACCACCCACAAGCCACTCGGACCCAAAACAAAGGCCGAAGAAAGGTGTCTTGCCATATTGCAAAATAAGGCAAGTACTTTCAACGGAAACCATTAAAGGAAGTGGTGCAAAAAACGCCCTTACCTGTAGCTGGCCTAATGCTAATAAAACGCTAACAAACCGCTGGCAAAACGCCCCAACAACTTGCACTGAGAAAAAGTAAGGAAAAGAAAAGCCAGAGACCGGGGCCGAGACCAAGACCGAGGAAAAGTGTCGCCAGTTGTCGTTCATTGTCTGGCTGGCAGTGTTCACACGCTTTTTATGGTGGTAACATTAACGTGGCCAACAAATGTTGCCAAATGCTGCTCTGCCGTGGATTGAGTTGGACTTGAGCTTGACCGATCATCGTCATCATCATTATCGTCATCAGAAGCAGCAGGCGGCAATTAAAACTCGCGCGAAAGTAAAACGTTTTACAGTTAACGAAAAAAAAAGTAAAAAAAAAATTCAACAGAAAAGATAAGTCAGAAGAAGCAGTTAACTTGGTCTGAAGTTGCAACAACAAATTATATATTTAAAAGTCATCAGCAAATGGGCTTTATTGTGCTCGTTACCTCAGAGTCTGGCTCTCGTTTGCTTTCGCTTGCTTTTCGAGAAAATTGAAAACAATCTTCGTGCTGCATTTGCCAAACGGAATTAATCGAAAAATTATATGAATTTTATGCTTATAATGATACAAATTGCATTCGATCGGCAGTACCAGCCAATTAAATGTAAATCAGAGGACTCCAGCTGCAGCTCTGGAATCAATCACGGGCCGCCGAGATGAGAGATGAATTATTGGGCAGTGTCAGGGCTTTAATTACTTTATTACCAGGGTCCATAAAAACAGGATCGAAGGCGGAGAAGGCGGCCTTAGCGGTACTTTGACTCAAGGGGCCGACAAAAAAAAAATAACCAAAAGACAAATCGCTTACGCCCACTTTTTCTTGACCATCCCATGTATGTATGGCTTTCGGGAGTTCGACATAACAATTTAGTGTAACGATATCTGGGCAAAAATAATTTAATTTATAACAATGGGTAGTTGCAGGACAGGAACAGTGGTTTCCAGTAGGAAGGAATTTACTTAAAGTATTTAATTTAGCTTTAAAAAGATACATTACACTTTTTGGAAAACACATTTGTCAAGACCTTTCCCGAGGAGTTTTCAAACATTTTTCCGAAAGAATTAATTCTCATAACTCTGGTTCCACGGTCTCGGGTTTCAATACGAAACTTGACGATGACCACACAACAAATAAGTCAGCGGAGTATCTGGCGGAGCAACCTAAACCGGAGGCCACACACAAGAGGCGGATCCGAAACCCCGAAACGGAGCCCAAAAAAAAAAGAGAATTAATATTAAATACTCAAGCTGGAAAAAAGCTGAGCTTGGCTCTTTCTGGGGAATTCAAGAATGTGACATACGGTATACACATCGATGGAAAATTAATTAAAACCTCCGATATATACTGCGATGGCTGCGAAGAAAGTAACTAGAGAAATGGCTCATTACAATGATTACGAATACAAATATGAGTACATGAACGGTTCGAATACAAAGCACTAACAGACTGACTGACTGAGAGTGAGTCAACCTACGTGAGCTGCACATTTAACCAATTTTTAAAAGAAAAAAAAAAAAGACTTGACGAAGAACAAGAAGGCCTAGAACAAGTGCCACAAATTGATTGTGGTGGCTAGCTGACTGGCTGCCTGGCTGGCTGGCTTTGAAGCAGAGAGTGGAGCATAGCGAATTGACCCACTGTGGGGCTGAGAGAATGCTATGGAGAATTGTTATAACTGCGCTTTGCTCGGCTAACTGTGGCAAGACCTCAATCCAGATACAGATACAGATACAAAACGCCGCTTGGCACGCTCTCTCGGACTCGGATTCTACATACCAGCTTCGATTACAGAGTTTCGATTTGTTTCGAAAAGGCCCCCAAAGGCAAGACGGCCAAAATGGCCAGTAACTTGGCCAATTTGTTTAATTAGCCTTGCCAACACTCATCAAGTGAGAGTTCAAATTAATTTGGCGGCGAAAGTTTCAGTCAATGAACTAAAAAATATTCACTTTATAGGGGAACCACTCACAAAGAAATGCAACACAAAGAACCCACGAGAAGAATCACTCTGATTCACTTTTAAAATTATGATTTCTCTGGGGATTCTTTTATGGACCCTATATACCTTAAACAAGGGGGAGTAAGCCCTAAAGATAATAAGGGCTTTGTGGTCTTTAGATTTATTTGCCCAAATTATAAATCTTATCCGTGGTAAGAGCACTACGAGTACCAGCCACTGATGCAAATATTTACATGTATCCCCTGATAAGGCACGAAGTTGTAAGCCACTATTTGCTAAGATATGGTCGAGATTTGAGAAAAAGTATCTCACAAGTGCTCCAAATACTTTAAGCTGCGGCATCCCATTTACCAAACCATAGGCAACGCCCCTGCCCGGAAGCTTTCAACTGGCGGTGTTGCAACTCGCAACATGCTACTTTTACTTTAGACCAATCTCTACTGGTCTCTTGCATAAGACACCCAGCCGCGCTGGGGCAACCAGGCACACGCCCCAAATAAACCACTAAACCGGTGACACTCCCCCGCACCTACCGTGCCACCTTTTCTATTTCTCCTCCTTTTGTTTTTTTTTTTTTTTTACTCAAAGTTGCCGCTAATTCAAACAAATTGCAGCATAAATGCATTATAAAAGGCAGAGGAGCCGGAGCCACATCGGGCGACACAGTGTGACAGTAATAATGTCACTCGCAGTCAGTTGGGAAGTTGGGGGGGCTGGATATGGATATGGAATGGATATACATATATGTGTCTATATAGGTGGATGCCAGTGATAAATTAGCCAGCTTCACCGATCTGGCCATGTGTGGGCAAGGCACAGTGGTTTGGTCAGGGGATACCTTACGGAACACTTCTCGCGAGAACCTCTTAAAAATCCTCATCCGAGGTCATTGTACCCCATTGAACTGGAGTTTTCTTCACCCTGGCACTTAATTGATTGTTCTACTCCATTTGATAAGCTCATGCGGCAATTGCTCATTTGTGGCACACACTTACACTCGGGGATTAGAAATGGTAATGGTTAATTATGTTGACGATCCGGTTGCTTGCGACCCACTGTGCTGCATTGCATCCACGAGATGCGCGAGATGCTAGAGCTTCTATAGCTGCTATAGCTGGTAGATGCAACTGCAACTCGGTGGCAGACAAGCAAGTGTTTTGTGTTGTTGCTGCTGCAGCTAATTTGATTAATGATAAGCCGGACTTAACTGACGACGATTGTGATTCATTATGTGCGCACAAGCCAGCACACTTAGCGCAGAAGATACAAATGCAGATGGAGATCTATGGAAGGAAAATATGTACATATCTATCGCCGGGCAGTGCGGTAGCGAATTTTCATTAAATAGATTACAGGCCAGATGTGTCAGTGTTTGTGTGTGTGTGGGGCATTCCACAGAGCCCGAGCGAATCAAAGACAGAACATTATGTTATTCGATCGGGAAGAGGGGGCTATAAACAACAAGTGCTCGTTGTTTTCTGGGGGAAATAGTGGTGGAGCGTTGTTTGATGCGTAATTGAAGCTTCAATTGAATTCGCACTGCCTGTACCCCCAGGCGCTCCCTTCCGCTGGACATGATTATCTATGAGATACAATTTCGTTGGCGCACTGCTGACTTTGATTATATGCAATGAGCCATTTCCTCCACATGCTCGACTTGGCTTGCTCGCTGCTGCACCTCATTTGGGTCGAAACAGAAACGCTACAGCAATTGCAGTGGCAATGGCATCATGTGGCCAGATAAGCAGTTAATAAAGTGGCACACTTGTGGCCAGCAATTTGGCTGAAATGGGTTAGGGACCAACTGGCAGTAGTGCAGGTTAAAAATGATACAAAATAAACATCAAGTCCAGTCAACAGCAACAAATTCTGGGAATTTATTAAACACATTGATCGAAACATAGGAAAAGTGTTCAACTATTAGAGGATTTTTTTGGCTTTGGATCCTCTTCTGTGTTTTTTTTGGAAAATAAGGACAATTATTGGGGATATCTTTGGGTGTTGCTGTTGACAAATTAATGTTTAAATGGGAAACAAAAAAAATGGGAATCGGAAGCTGAAGAATGGAATTTCGGTTAGTTTCCGGCCGCCTTCCTAGCCTTCTCCTTCTCCTTTTCTTGCTGCTCCTTCTCCTTTTGCTTCTCCTTCTCGGCCTTTTCGCGCTCCCTGCGGGCCTTATCACGGGCCTTCTCGCGCTCGGCCTCCTCCTTCTCCCACTTGTCCTCCTGCTCCTTGCGCTTCCTGGTGACCTCCTTTTCCCGCTCGGCCCGGGCCTTGGCCTTCTCCTTGCGGATTTTCTCGCGCTCCTTCTCCAGCTCCTGGAGCCGCTTCACTTCGTCCTTTTCCCAGATCTCGAAGGCTTCGCGCTCGGCGGCCAGGCGCTGCAGCTCGTCCAGCTCCCTGTCCGAAATGCCGCCCTCCATGTCCCGCTGCATCAGGTCCACCTCGCGCTCCATGGCCTCCTTGGCCTTGCGCCGGCGGATGCTCAGCTCCCTGGCTTCAACAGCGTCCTGATGGCGCTGCTCGCGCTCCTCCCTTTCCTCCTGCCGGCGCTGCTCCTGGTACTCGAACTCATCCATCTCATCCTCCGTGTAGGGGTACTGGGGCAAGGTCCAATACAGACCCAACACGCCTATAGATACTCATATTTAATGCAAGATTGACAAGAAAATGTTAAGGGCCTAACAATCTAATGATTTCCTAGCCATTCCTACCTGAGGACAAGGCCAGGCCCCATGTCCCAATCGCCGCCACGATGCCACTGAACAGTACCATGTTGTAGCGACTGTTCTTCGTCTTCCAGGCCTTCATGAAGTCGCCCTCCGGCACAGGACAATCATTGAATGTGGCATGTTTGCCACCGCTGGCAAAATAGCCCGGTTTCCTGGGCTTCTTGTCGCCACCAGGACACTTGGGCGGATTGGAGGACTTGGGTGGCGGAGCTGTGGGGGGTTTCTTGGGTGCTGGCGGTGTCGGTTTTTTGGCAGCCATCTGCTGCCGAACTGTGTTGTGAATTAGCATCTTGCCAGCATGTACTGGGGGCGTTTTTAGTTGAGAACCAGCTTTCTTTATAAATTATCCTTAAGAGTAACTTACATCCTTTCTGGATCTGCTCTGTGGCTGCAAACAACAATCTGGACATGGTGGTGTGGGTAACTTGTAATTCTAGTACCAGCTGCTGTTCAGCCACTAAGCCTCTTCACGAGTCCCACGATTCCCGCTTAGGTCTTCGTGGGATTGGAAAACGAAAATGATTTTCTTGGCAAAGTGTTTGTCTTACTAAAATATAAAATATTCCCAAGTCACGAACGTAAAAAGCTCTAATCGATGTCAATTTCAATTGTTGCTAAGATCACAGCTAGTGCCTGGGATATCTTACAAATAAACACGTTTTTAAAGTCTTGGAAAACTTAAAGAAAAACAAACACTTTTGGCCAACAAGTCGTAATTACGGGAATACTTTGTTTATCTATTTTTAATTTTTTTTTGCAATCCAAGAGATTAAATATCACTCGATCAAGAATTCAACGAAAACCAACCACAATCTAGAAAACACGTCTGTAATTTTTAGGCGCCTTTCCAATGGATAGATGAAGGGCTACTTGATAGAGAAAACCTATATTTTCATTACACGTAATATAGAGCATTTTCTTAGTAATCTCCCCAGTGAGATCTTTTCACCAAAACCAAAGTACCAGAGTGCACTTTAGGTGCGATAACTAGTCAGATACACAAATGTATCTCGGGCAACTAGAAAATCGTGTACGATAATTTACACAACGGTTTTCGTGTAAGACACAAAAGCTCTGGCGCTGCGATAAGAAATGTATATGTAACCCCAGAAGACCCCGAACCCACACCCCATTAGCATGTTTCAAAAAGACCATATGTAGATGTATGGAGAATTTCACGGAAATTTATGATGCCCGAAAGAGAACATACCGTCCGAACCCATCAGCATCGAAAGCGACCCGGTAAAAATAAAAAAGGTGTCACGTGCGGGGCCAACAACAAACTTGTCAAAAATCGGTTGGCCAAGACGAATGCATAATAAAGAGACACTGGACAGCGGCGGAAAAGTAGCTTGTAGATAAAGAAGCTAAGGCTAATCGCAACCAGAATGCGGTCAACAAACTTGTTCTGATCTGGTTTAACAAGTGGGTGTACAAAGTGGCTTGGATTGGATTGGCTTGGCTTGGACTGCAGTGGTGGGTGCAATGCAATTGAAGTCATAAAAAAATACAAGTTATTCGACTCATACTTCGTAAATTTATATATTTCTATACATCTATATAGAATCTATAACAAATAGAAAACACATTGTAGAAAGCCTATCCGTTGTACTCCTTCTCCTTCTCCTTCTGGAGCCGCTTATAGAGCCGCTTCCTCCGCTTGTTGTCCCGTCGAATGGCATATATCGAGAGGATTATGAAGAACAGATAAACAGTGGCTGTGATAAAGCATCGGATGGCATTCTTCTGGAATCCCTTGTCGGCCTCCTCCCTGAACTGCTCCACCGTCTCCCACTCGAATTTGTGATCAAAGTGGATATCGCGCAGCATGTCCAGGGATCTAATGTAGAACAGTACGCCCAAAATGTTTAGCATTAGAAAACCCCAAACACTAACAAATAGGCACATCATCGAGCACTTTCGTCCGCAAACCATTTTCAGTGTTATATTTGATTGGCAAAATAGGTACTATTTCTGACACTGTAGGCGAATGTTACTGTGACCGCAACAGGTGTCACTCTAAACTTGCCTCAGTTAGATCTGCCATATAGCCTTGGGCGATTATATAGAGTTCAGATCGGGGGCCTCTCGCTTTCGATTGGATTTGTGGTCGGGTTTATTCAACTCGAAATGGTTCAGTTTCGGTCGGGCTAACTGATGGACAGCTGACAGGGCAATAAGTCCTCTATATAAAGCAACTACTGACGCGATCTGAATAAAGTACATTTTTTTTTTTAAATTCTACTCTATATTCTAAAAATAAGATATTTTCTGGGCTTCAGGAAATTCAGAACAAAGGCTGATTCATCAAAGGGCAGTTTCCGATTTAGATTCTTGGCATGAATCATGTTCAAAAAATTGCATTTTAGCCTAAAAGCTAATCAAAGAATTTAGCAATAATTAGCAAGACTTACCGTGAATGTTCTCCGTTCACCGCTTTTTTTTTTTTCAAAAAAATTTAGCCGTCAGCCATAAAATATTTTGGCCAAAGAAGCAGCAGAAGAAGAATCCACATTAATGTTTTTGTTACCAGTTTCTTGAAAATCCGTTACAAACATCAAGTTGTTGTGAAAATTCGTAAGTCTTTTTCACAGTTGCTAGACTTTTTTTGCACTTTATTATTACTATTATTTTTTTCTATTTGTATTTTATTTATTTATTTTTTTCGTTTTTGTCGTTGGGGTTTCTTGATTACTGAAAAATCGAAATAAATCAAGAATAAAGATAATTTTTGTTTAAAATGCGAGCCTATCATGCAAGTAGTGTTGCAACCTAAGCCGAAAGGCCTCAAAACTCTAATTGAAAAAAAATGTTTTGGGCAACCTCTGGTTCGGATTTCGTTAAGCCCCGGCAATGGGGGTCAAGTCCATTAAGCCAAAACCCGATCCCAAGCCAGAGACCTTGACATTAGGGCGGTTGCTCACTGAACTTGGTAAGTGTCTCGAATTCCCTTTGCACAAATCAATCAACGTTTTTAATAAAAAAAACACTTGAATATTTTTTTACAAAAATTGGAGCTTTCAAAATCAGAGTCTTTGGATAAAAAGACTTTTATTTTGTACCGTTTGAATCTACAGTTAGAGTTAAATGATTGTTATTGCAATTGTTATTATTTTTTCTTCACACTTCAGTTTGATTTCATTGCATGTCTGGGAACTTATTTATAAAATTTATATTTATAATTTCCACACGCTGATAAGGAGAAAATTATATATTTTTTTTTTTATATTTGCACGCTCATTGTTCGCTCATTTCTTATCATATTACATATTTTTGTTTGAAACACTTTTTTTTAAAACCACTCACAATTCAATAATCAGAAACTCGATTCGAAACTTAATGATATAATCCCGGAAACTCAATAACCGATTTGGATATATGTCTCCAATTATTTTATGTGTTTTTAATATTTATTTAATATTAACCGCCGCGCACGAAAAAACAGAAATATTCCGTAAACAATTCTATCTTCGCCGAGCTCTCTGAAAAAAATGTTGGGATTGAGCGGAACGCGGGTCTATTTATAAGCCCGGGCCCCCCCAAAGCCCCAAGAGCCCCGAGAGAGCGGAGCTCAGGTGAGAGAATCAGAGAAGTGCTCTCTTTAACGCTCAACAGCTGTTTATGAACTATGCTAGTTGGGGACTCGGATTCCCTATACTTTCTTTTATAGATTTTAAATTGTATGTACATATATGTATATGTATATACATTATATTTTACTTTAAACTCTTTTAGTATGTGGAGCTTAGTAAATTTATTAGTGAATTTAGAAAGACTTATAGTTTTAAATTTTTCGGAATAAATACAATAATATATTTTATAGTCTTCAAAATGGTCTTATTTCTAAAGCTATATAAAATAAGAAACAAAACTAATTGGAATTGAAAGGAATATGGTTACCATCTAGGCTATCATGTCTTAGTAAAGGGTATACTTTGTTTGAACCACTCGACACTCTTTTTATCCAAAGTCTCTTTTACTCAAATATTTCCTTTCAACGAGCAACAAGTGAGAGAATGGTTTCTCTTTTGGGATAAACTCATGTTTTATTATTAAATAAAATATTATTAAAATTATGATTAAATTAAGTAATTTAAAGCAGTATACCCTTACTTCTCTTTTCTTAAACACAATTTTACACAAGTAAGTAGCTCTAATTAAGTTAATTATGAATGATCTCAATAAAAAGACCTGATGAAATGTTGGAAAAGTGATTTAATCAAGCCTCCCAACAGGCCTCATGTGAGGAATGCTTAATGTCAAAGTTATAAGGACACGTGAAGGACAACTACTGCCCACTCGAGCTACGCCCACCTGTTGGGTGGCAAACTGGGTGTTACATGCAGTCCTTTCAGTATTCAAATTTCGCAAAAAGGGCAAAGTGCACCTGGAAATGTGTTGCGCTCTTATCTCCCAATGACACCTTACATTCAGATGCAGGTCACTGAGAAAAATGATTATTTCATTTTTAATAAATATTATTTTCCAAGTGTGTTAAAGCTTTGTATTCTTTTGGCCAACACTTTCGATAGTTAACGCTTCAAGCCTCCCACTCATCGGCCAATTAAAGAACCGCTTTTATGGCAAATTAATCGCCGCATCTGAGAGCTATTTAAGCCTTATTAAAACCGAATCGCTGTTCGATTCTGTTGCTTCTGAATTGGCCAAATCCGCTTTATGGTTGCCTGCCTAATGGCCGAGAACTGTGGCCAAGATGTGGGATCGATTGATACTATTGATTACCAAAATGGCTAACAAAAACAAAAACTTTCGCATCGCGGATTTCCGCTCCCAAGCTACTAGAATTTCCATAGGCCCATGGTTGGATCCCTATTTTGGGCCCTGAGTGGCGTCTCAGATCAGAAGAAGGTCATTCGATACTGGCAGGATGGGTAGGAGGAGGGTTCTGTGCCGGGGGGATGGCCGATTAGCATGTTAAGTCAACGGTTTGAAGCGGCTGCTTAAGGTCTATAATTAAGCGACATAAACTTGGGTATTAGGCGCTAAATACACCAAGAAAAAAAAGTAAAGCTCTCGAGTGGGAGAAAAACAAAGTTTGGAGCGGGAGTCGCGGAGGAGGAGGAGGTGCGCCTCTTCTTGATTTGCATAACTGTTCGTCTGGGCCCAGAAGTCGGAGGCTATTTAGACTTTGGGTATCTGGTTATGGGTAATGGCATAAGTATTGGTATTGGTATGGGTACGGGTTGCATTCGAAACAGACGGCACGGGCGGGGACGGGCCTGGCTGGGCTGCAACGGGCGGCAAATGAAAACGGAGGCAAACACACGCACACACCTGAATTTACCTGGGCACAGCACCCAGCACCTGTCCACATAAGCGACGTCAACGTTGGGCTTTCATTTGCGGCTAAGAAAGAGTAAACAGCCGTGTTGCTTCTTTTTAAACCAATTTACTTAAAAAAAAACTACAAATTTAAGTATCTAAATAAAGTAGAAAGTTTAAAAAAATGTGATTTCAATTAAAAATTAAATAAATTAAAAAACTGCTTCAGAATTAGAGAAATTTACTCTCAATTTAATGAAAATAAAATTTTATCATCAACTTTAGTGTATTAGAAATTCGATTTTCTGTTTTGGAGTTTTACTTTCATCGTTCGTTCTTTACTATTTTTTTAACACAAAAGAATTTCCATCAATAATGTCAATAGTGCGGCAGCAACAACACCATGACACTCCTGGGCACCTTTGGGCACTAGTTCTTCTTCTTGCGGCAGCATTGGCCAAGACGAATTATGGCCATTAAAGCTGCTTGGGGTTTTAAGTTATTAGGCAACTTGAATTTCAAACTGCACTCGACAAACGCACACAAACCAACAGCGGCCCACTCCCTTAAATAGTATTAAGAAGGCTTAATCGTAAAAAAAAAACAATTTAAGCTTTATAATTCTAAAACAAACCAAGTTAATTATTGCTCCAAAAAATTAATTTAAATAAGTTTGCATATAAAACGGAAAATGGTGGTTAAAATTAGGTTTTAAGGTCACTGGGCATCGCCACCCACTGGTCCACCTGTTGAGTCCTGAGGGGAGAAACTCGATGAACGATAGGTAACCCTCCTAAATCGTGGTACGAATGTTTCCATCTGTATCCATGTGTTGATGGGCATTGTTTATACGTCATTAACTTCAGTGACTTTGATCTAATTTTAATCAGTCCCTGGGTCTGGGTCTTTATTGATTGTGTTGCAGCTTTGTCTTTGAATAAGTGGTGCCTCGACATCGATAAGCAATGGAACAGGAATAAAAAAAATGATTTTGTTTTAATTTAAAGCATAATTTTGATGTAGCTTTTTGTGTTTTAAACCAATATTTTTAGTAAAAGCTGGAAGAGTAATAAAATCATAAAGATTTAAAAAGTTAGAAGTTGTCATAATTTTAACAATTAAATATATACATACTTTTTAATTTAAATAAAAAACATCTTAATTACCAATTACAATTTATTTAAATTAAGTTACTTTATCCAATATCAGAACCAAAAATAATACTGGTTTGGCGCCCTCTGCCGGAATCTGTACGTAGCTCTACAAAAAAATACCAACAAATTAATAAAAAATCTAAACAGATTAGGGGTTATGTTTAATAGGTTTTATGAGTTTAATGACTGATAAGAACTGATCTCCGAGCTTATGTTCTGCGAGGAACTAGTCTGTTTCATTCATCCTTAAATTCATTTCGAATAATTGTTTTATTTAAGGCCATGTTTGGCAAACAAGCTTTGGTCACACTGTAGCCGGTCGTTTTTCTCTTTTGTTAAGTTTTGTTAAATAGATGTAAATTCACTATAATCGGTTAAAAACGAAGTGCCTAGCCGTCTACAAGTTTTAAATTGGTCAAACCAGTATAAAGACTATTGACACTGGATTCAGAGCCGAGCTCTTGCAATCCGAGCTATCCAATTTGATAAAATACAGGTGTTTGCTTATCGAACGAATACGCGCATAATCTTCTAGTGGGTGAATTTTCCAATTTGCGGTACTTCCCCGATTTTCTACTTTGAGCTGGCCAATAGTTATCGCAATCGTTTTGCCACGTCACATGAAAAGTCATTATGCGATATAGTCTCTGTTAGTTCGTCTCAGTCTGTGGCAGAACATCGTCAAAGTCAGTACAGCGAACAGCAAAAGCTAATTTTTTTTTGTTTTAATTTTAAAGTGAAAAAGTTTTAAAGGACATAATGAGTGCTCAGGACGTTCCGGTTGATGAATTAAAGGTGGGTGTAGTACATTTTTACCAAGATATACCGGCAATCAAATGAATTCATAATCCTGCAGCCTCGCAGCTACCAACTGCGTCTGGTGGATCACATTACCAAGCAAAATGGCATCATTTACTTGCCCACCGGCTCCGGGAAAACGTACGTGGCCATCCTGGCCCTGAAACGGTTCTCCCAACACATGGACAAGTGAGTATACAATTGTGAATCATCCGATCCATTTATGGCGAATATGGCATCAAATACGCATTCCGCAGGACAATCGAGGAAGGTGGCAAACGGGCCCTATTTATGTGCAACACCGTGGAGCTGGCCCGCCAGCAGGCGGAGGCAGTAAAACGCCACACTAATCTCAAGGTGGGATTCTATGTGGGGGAGCAGGGCGTGGACGATTGGCCGAGGGGCAAATGGGAGACTGAAATCCGAGATAAGCAAGTAAGTTTTAAATTACACTGGAAATAATTCTTTCACATAGCAACCACTTTATTTTATTTATAATCGATTTTTGGATTAAGAAAACTAAAATTTTAAATTTAAAATTAAATTGAAAAATGTATAGATCTTTTAAATGAAGCTGCTTTGATGTCTAGAGGTCGGGCTACACATAAGTGATTACGTGGCTGCACCCTATAGGTCTTGTCTTTTGTTTATGTATTGACTGGCACTTGGAAATTATTTCACCACGAAGTGCTGATCCTAGCGTTCCATTTCAAATGATTTTGCAAAGTCACGTTCGATAAAGTGACGTAAATAGATGAAACAGTTGGGAATGTAGTTTAGCTTTTATATAATATATATCCATACATTTAAAAACTTCCTATAAATTAAAAAATAACTATTAAAACTTATTCTCAGATGCTTTTTAATTAAAAACAAACATTTTACTTTAAGGTTATGGTGGGAACTGCTCAGGTGATGCTAGACCTTTTCACCCAGCGGTACATGGAACTAAGCTCGGTGAGCATTGTGATAATTGACGAATGCCACCATGGCACGGGTCATCATCCGTTCCATGAGTTTATGCGCCTGTTCCTCGTCGTGGGTACACATATGTCACTTCCTCGTGTTGTGGGCCTAACTGGCGTGCTGATCAAGGGCAATGAGACGAAGAATGTGGCCAAGAGACTCAAGGACCTGGAGACCACCTATAGAGGCAATATAATTACGGTATCGGACACCCACGAGCAGGAGAACGTAATGCTGTAATGCCTAAAATGTACCGATTTAAAGGATTCTCCTTAGAAAATTATATTGTTTTTTTTTAGATATTCAACAAAGCCCCGGGAGTACATGGTTCAATATCCAGCACAAGATCAAACGTATTCGCTGGTCGCGCATCTCGACAAAATGATATTGGATTTCTATCTAGTCCTGGACCAAATGGATATTGGTGTGCAGCCCAAGCGAAGGTCAAAGGGATTGATGGCCCACAAGGATCCGCACAAAAAGAGTGCCATTAAAACGCTCTTCAACGACTTTAAATTCCAGATGGAGGAGTACGGAGTGTATGCCGCCTCCATTGCCATTGTTTCGCTCTCCGTAGATTTTGAGGTGAAGAAACGCCAAGCGGAGACCATTTCCCTGAAATCGATGTACAGGTCGGCCATTACCCTGTGCGACCAGATACGGCATGTCCTGGTGAAGAAACTGCGCGACCTGGTGGACGACGAGGACGATAAAGATGAAGCTGTCAACACCGAGGAGGTTATTATGAACTTCTCAACCCCGAAGGTCCAGCGATTCCTGCATTATCTTAAAGGGACATTCGCTGGAAAGAAGCCAAAAGATATCTGTTGTCTGGTATTTGTGGAACGACGCTACACCGCCAAGTGCATTTTTGGTCTGCTGATGCATTTCATCGAAGCCACTCCCGAGTTGCGGAACGTGCTGGTCCCTCAGTTTATGGTGGGACGAAATTCAATTTCCCATGATTTTGAAAACATATTGGAATCCAAATTCCAAAAATCTGTAGGTGTTTGATAGACTATATATCATTTATTATTTGATTTATTATTTGAACCTTTCTTCAGGCTATTCAACAGTTTCGAGATGGCGAGGCGAATTTGATGGTTTGCTCGAGTGTCCTGGAAGAGGGAATCGATGTACAAGCATGTAATTACGTCCTTATCCTGGACAGCCTGAAAACTTTCAACATGTATGTTCAAACGAAGGGACGTGCCCGGTCAAAGGACGCAGTTTTTATTATTTTTTCATCGGTTTCCAATGCGGAAGAGGTTTCCAAGCAGATTGCTCAGTATCGCCAGGCTCACTCCGATATTGCCGACTATTTAAAGAGTCGTGTCTTGGACCGAGCTCTACCGCTGGCTAACGAGATAAACGAACACTTCCAGGACATCATTCCTCCCTTTATTAATGAGCATGGTGCCGTGTTGTTAGCCAGTAATGCCTTAATCCTGCTCCATCGGTACTGTCAGAGCTTGCCTTCAGACGCGTTTGGATTCGTAGTGCCATGGATTGATCTTCTTGATCAGAACGAACGGCTACAACGGTTCGGCAAAAGTGCCGAGTTTAAACAAGTCGTCTCTATTGTTTTGCCACTCACATCCACTCTAAAGGATACGATTTATGTAAGTCATTTTATTGAAACATAAAACATGAGAGAAATCTTAAATTTTGCCTTCTTAAAGAGCGATCCCATGGTCTGTACCAAGTCTGCCAAAGTATCTGCCGCCTTTAAGGCCTGTAAACAGCTCTATTTACTGGGTGAGCTCAGCGAAAAGTTCCTGCCCATTACGGCAACGGAACGGGTGGCGGCCATTGCTGACGTCCACTTCGAAACGTGGAAGAAATACGGAGATGACGGTGAGCCTTTTTTTTAACATTAAATGTATAATCTTCTTATATAAGGATATTTCCTTGTACAGTGACAAAGAGCCGCCAAGAGAAAGAGATTAAGCTGCGTACCTATAAGACTGGCTGTCCGGAGGAATTTCTCGATGCGATGCCGCGGGTTGGCGAGGTCTGCTACGCCTACGAGATCATCCTGGAGCCACATTTTGAGCGTAATGACTACTCGGAGCACTTTTACGACAACCTGCAGACTCCTCGCAACTATGCCCTGCTGCTGCGCAAAAAACTCCCCAGGTTGGCGGAGATGCCTTTATTCTGCAATCAGGGAAAGCTACATGTCCGCGTCGCGGCGGAACCACGTGAAGTAGTACTCGATAGTGACATCAAGCTGAAGCAGTTGCAGCAGTTTCACGTTGCAATTTTCCGAAATATTCTACGCATTTGGCAGCCGTTCTTCGTGTTCGATCGACTCAGCAGGGAGAACTCGTATCTGGTGGTTCCTTTGGCCGTAGGAGAGGCTCAGGCTGGAGTCATCGACTGGCCACTGGTAACAAAGTTCCAAACTTGGCAACCGGTCCAAAAGCCCAGTGTGCAGCAGCGAAAGGAGGCACCACCACCACGTCCCGAAGATTTCGAAGGGACAATTGTGACCCAGTGGTACTCCAACTATGAGGAGAAGCGAATGCTGGTCACCAAGGTGCACCGGAATCTCACGCCGTTCAGCTTTATGGAAAAAAATCACCAAGATAAGACCTACTATGATTTTACCATGTCCAAGTATAGCAACCACATTGGTGATGTAGTGCATCGGGATCAGTTCCTGATTGAAGTACGAGACCTGACAGAGCAGCTAAACTTCTATGTCCAGCAGCGAGGAAAATCTTCGGCCCAGAGCAAGGCCAGGGCGAAGGTGGTGCTCATACCGGAGCTTACCTATAATTTTTCATTCCCCGGTGATTTCTGGCTAAAGGTACTGTTTCTACCGAGCATTCTGCGACGGCTGAACTTTCTGCTTCATGCGGAGGCGCTGCGAAAGCGATTCAACACATACCTGGGTCTTCAACATTTGCCAATTAACGGAGTTGATTACAAGCCCCTGCCCGTGGAAATTGATTGGTCACTAAAGAGGAACGTTGATCCATTCGGTAATGCCGTGGCCGACGAAGAATTCGAGGAGCCGCGCTCCGTGCTCGAACCCATGCCCACAAAGGTGATTGAGACGGCTATGGAAAAGTTGGAGATTAGCGACATGGAAAACAAATGGCAGGACTACATGGAACCGGTGGACATTTCGCGTAAGCTACTTTCCGCCTATCCCGTAGAGTTATCCTACTACTACCAGTTTTGCTCGGGCTTTGTAAAACGGCTTGATCAAATGGAATACGCTGATAAGGAGTTCTGGACCGAGAACCAATTTAAAATTCCATCAGGAAGCATTTACGATGTCAGAAACACAGACATGATGAGGGAGAATCTTCCAGCATTGATGCCAGCGAGTGGGTCGAAAGCACAAGCGCCTCAGGAAGAGAGCTACCTCTCGGTCCTGCAGAGGACCGTGTCCAACGAACATATCACGGCCGCCGAGCAAAGCGAGTTCCTGGCAGCCATCACCACCAGTGGCAGTGTCGATGTGTTTGATATGGAACGACTGGAGTTGTTGGGAGACTCGTTCTTGAAAATGAGCGGTTCGCTGTACCTGGCCCACAAGTACCCATCATGGAATGAGGGTACTCTCACCCAGGTCAAGTCCAAGCTGGTATCCAACAGGAACCTCCTGTATTGTCTAAGCGAAACCGACATCCCCACAAAGATTAGCAGTTCCTTGTTTACCCCGAAATACACTTGGGTGCCGCCGGGATTCAGTTTGCCACGCAATGTGTTGGCTTTGTGGAAGGAAAATCCGGATGTGGCGAAGCTGGTGGGTCCCCACAACTTAAGGGACCTGGCGCTCAGCGAGGAGGAGTCACTTATCACTGGAACTTGCAGCGAGGCCACATTAAACACGTTCTTGGATGGGTGTCGGAGGAATAGGAGCAGCCATCATGCCGACACAGATTTCTCTGCCGAGCTTAACTTTTGCATCGGCCAGGCTAATATTTCGGACAAGGTTATAGCCGATACATTGGAGGCTCTGTTGGGTGTGGTTGTGAAGAACTATGGTCTGACGCACGGCTTCAAAATGTTGGAGTACTTTGGAATCTGCAAGTCGGACATCAACAAGCCGCTAGCCCAGTTGCTAGACCTAGAATTGGGCGGCGCCAACATGCGAACGAATGGGAGCACCAGCGACATCGATAGCTTCCTAATAAACCATGCGAACTTGGAGGAGAACCTGGGCTACACCTTCAAAGATCGGGGCTACCTTCTGCAGGCTCTCACCCATCCGTCGTATCCCACCAATCGGATTACGGGCTGCTACCAGCAGCTGGAATTCATCGGTGATGCCATATTGGATTTCCTTATATCCGCTTATATTTTCGAGCACAACACAAAGATGACTCCCGGAGAGCTGACGGATTTGCGATCCGCTCTGGTCAACAACACTACCCTGGCCTGCATTTGTGTGCGGCACAAGATCCACTTGTTCATCTTGGCCGAGAACGCTTTGCTGTCAGAATCCATTGCTAGCTTTGTACAGTTCCAAGAAACCCAACACCATAGGGTAACCAATCAGGTGAGAATTCTTCTCGAGGAGACCGAGCCAACGGCCTTGGACATAGATGATGGGGAGCCGGACGAAGCCACTGAAAGTGAGGAAAATATTGGTGTTCCAACAAAAGGGGACTACAACATGTCCCAGAACGTGGATGTACCCAAAGCCCTGGGAGATGTCCTAGAAGCCCTCATTGCCGCAGTGTATCTGGACTGCAGGAATCTACACCGCACCTGGCAGTTTATTTACAACCTTTTCAAGCCCGAGCTCAAGGAGTTCGCCCGCAACGTCCCCATCAACCCGATTCGGCAGCTCAACGAGCACAAGCGGGCGTCGCCCATTTTCAGTGCTCCAATTATTGACCAGGGTAAGGTAATGGTGCGTTGCCAGTTCACCTGCATGGAGAAGACCATAATGGTATACGGGTTCGGCAACAACAAAAACCAGGCCAAACTGGCGGCTGCCAAGCACGCCCTCCAGAAGTTGGCCAAATGTGATGCATAAAGTGAGACTTGGTGGATGTCAACAGCCCTTGCCACGGATTTATTCCAAATTGCATGGGCGAGTCCCATTCAATTTCGAAAAAATCCGTAAAAGAGCTATTGACAACAATTCGCAATATTTTTAATAAAAACTACATATTTTTATGACAGAATTTTGTATTATAACTTGCTATAATATTATAACTTGCTGTTATATGAAATACTCCGTATTAACGATTCTTTTAATAAAACAATTCATTTTTTTATGGTTATGCGTTTTTATTTACCGCGTGCATACTTGAGTTAGATTTACAATCGGCGACATCGCCACTTATTTACAATAAAAATGCTGGGTGCATTCTCTACTCCCTTCCATCCAAGTGCCCACGTTCTTTGGCTGTCCGAGCCATTTTCGTTGTTGCATGAAGCGAGCGGTGGCTCTTAGGCATTAGGATTTTTAGTGCTTCACGAATTAAAAACTATAGTAAGTAACAATTTGGTAATCAATGAAAATCAAGAGGGTTTTAGATTAATGTTAAAAAATCAAATCGTAGCACTGTAAGCTTACATTTGGAATGATTAATCTATCAGAGACAATACAAACTAAAACAAACTCAATTGGAGACACACACGAAACTATAAACTAAGGTGGAATGCGGTGGCGCATTATGGGTTGAGATAAAATAGAGATTAATTTGCTCGCTTATTGAAATAAACATGAACCGCAGGTGATCTACACACGACAGGTGCAATCCGGTTTGTTGATGCTACGCTGTCGGGTCTGTAAATTGCGCAAAGCGGCTCCTCCATACTGGATGCCGCTCCCAATTCGTTCCGGGTCCAGTTCGCCTGTCTCAATTTTGGCCAGGATTGTTTTGGAGCACTTAAGGAACGCCTCCTCCACGTTCTCGCCCGTCTTGGCGCTCGTCTCCAAGAAGATCAGCTCTACCATTGGAGTATAAAGGTAAAAATGGAGCACAATGATCGTTATAGTTACCATACCGTTCTCCTGGGCAAAAGTGCTTGCCTCTAGGAAAGTGACGTCCCTTGCCTCCTCCAAGTCTTTTTTGTTTCCCACCAGAAGTATGACGATATTCGGACTGGCCAAGGTCCTGGCATCGTTGAGCCAGTTTGTGAGAGCATTGAACGAGTCTCTCGATGTGGCATCATATACCAATAGAGCACCGGCAGCTCCTCGATAGTACGACCTTGTGACAGAGCGAAACCTCTCCTGTCCGGCGGTATCCCAAATCTGCAGCTTCACCGACTTACCGCCCACGTTAACAATCCGGGAGCCAAACTCCACTCCGATTGTGTGCGAGCTATCATCTTTAACTAGAGGAATTTTTATACAATATCAGACATTTTAATAGAAAAAGGACCTTTTTATAGAACACTTACACTTGCTCTCGATGAAGTGATGCAACAGACAGCTTTTTCCGCTGCCTGCACTCCCAATGATCAGAAATTTGAACAGGTAATCTACACACAAGAGCCCCGCAACACAATTAATTAGTGACTGTAATTAATTAGTTATTCGTGTTATGACAAACCGTATGTTTCCGACATTGTTTTTGTTTTCCCTTTTGCGTGGTAATTGTCTTCTTTGTTTATGTTATTACGAAGAGGATCCCCTACTCTTGGAGTTCTGTGACTACTAGTGCGAATGGGCACCTGTTAGTGCGTGACTGCTTTGCTGCACTGCACTGTTTTTTATTGCCACAAGATTCGCCAATAATATTAACAATTAAAAGTGGTACAAAATCGCTGTTTAGCTGTTCAGTAAGGCTGCAGCATGCAAACGGAAAAACACCACAAGGAAGTGGGTGTGACCGTGTGCCATGTAAAAAGCGTGAATCATATGGGATATTTCCCATTTGTTTTGTTTACATTTAGAAAAGACAAATTCCTAAAATATATAAATTAAATAGCGATTCCAAGAACCAGTTTATTATTTAACATCAGGATTGCAAGCTATTTACACTGTAATTTTCACATTAAAGCTTATCCAATCTAAAAAGTTGATTCGTCTATGTATCTTTTTGTTTTTCCGCCACATAATCCTGGTAACAGTTAATGGGATCCTTTGCCGTATAAACAGAGTAAGCCAGTTTGCTGGCCTTGAAGTTCTATCGGAAAAAAATTCAATGGGTTATTAATGATAATGGTGATAAGAGTGTGGGCCCTACCTTTATATCGCCCGAAATTAAGGACCACAGATATACGAAAACAGCCGGTATCACTGTACACAGGACAAACAGCTCGAAAGTGTTTAGATCACCGAAAATTGATACTTTCATTTTGATAATATATTAAATTTAATTGAATTGCAATGTTTATTCGGTTGATGACCAATTTTTTCGACCAATTTTGAGTGTTGCAAAAAACCAATATGCAGTGCTGTAAAACGTTGGTTCACTATTATAGTTTCTAGGTATTTTTTAGTCATACGATTTTGGCCACTGTCATCGAATCTTTTGGCGAGGAAAAATAATAATTACCAATAAAAATGGTTTTCCGCGTACCCTTTGGCAAGAAGCACGCTGAAATCGCATCTTCCTTGTAAGTTTTGAATTCTTTCATAGATCCAGCATGAAAGGATTCACGATTCAAGGCAAATTCAAAAACTGCAACCCATTGCATAATCACAAGGAATTCAGAATGTTAAAACATGTTATATTTTAATATTTACAGCGTGCGATCTGGCGCAGGATTCGGTGCAGCTGCTGGTCTGGGCCTGCTCTACTACACCGACTGGAAGTTGATCCTGCAGTATGTGCCCATCTATGGCTCCAAGTTCGACAAGAGCGAGTAAATCTGAATCCCCCTATCTTTAGTCGCTTGTAAATGGACTTACTGTTTTGCTTGGTGAATAAATTAAGTTAAAACTACGTGCGTGTTATTACTGAAAATCGTATATTACAAATAACTTCGTACAGATTACAATCTGTTAAATTGTTACAGAATTCTTTCGTTTTCGCTAGCTAGTTAATCGCTAAGGGGCTTAAGTCACTTTTTGCTTAAGACTTACATCAATGCTAGCCTATTTTGATTAAAGTTCGTATAAAAAATATAGCGAGCTCCGTATTCGAGAATGGAAGAGTTCAAACCGATTTCTTTTTTAAAAAAAGAATCAGGAATATGCAAGTTGGAAGCCCAAATCGACCGGCGATGCTTTGTTCTGGATGATTTAAGAATCCGGCTCGACAAAGGATGCTGGAAAAAGTCCCGTCTTATGGGTACGGGCATGAGTGCCCTTATACCAGCCATTTTTCTGCTTGCGCTGCACGTAGATAATGTCGCCCACATGTAGCTCCAGTTCGATGTCGCTGTTTGGAGGATACGGTACAATGCATCGAAATCGGCTACAAAAGTATATAAAAATTAATATTTAATTCTCAGCTGTTTGTTCGCAAAAACACACACCTTTCTCTTGTGCAATAGGCTGATTTAGTGGTGGCGCTGGCCTTGATTGCGGCCTCGGTAATCACATTGTTGCTGGGACAAAGCACATGACCAGCATCCAGGCTGTGGGACTTTCGATGACTGGGAGCAATGATCATGTTGGCGTGCAGCTGCGATTGCCCTCCCAACTGCTGCTGTCCTCCTGCATAAATGGCTGGAGCTACGGCTGAGGCTGGAGGCGGTGGCGAATTGGCCGCATTGCTGTACATGTTGCGAAATGTGGCTGCATCCAAGGACTGACGGGCACTATAAAATGATCCGCAAATTATATCAAGTTTACAAAATTTATCCTTTAGCTTAGACATACCAAATCAATTGAGGACGATCCTTGTTGCCCTTAACGCGCTGGGAACCGTAAGAAACCGTGTTACCGGCGGCAGTGGAAGCTTGTGGCTTGGTTACAAACTGTTGCTGTTGTACGGCGGATGTGGAAGCGGTCGTTGTTGAAATTGACGTTTCATTCAGCGGTTGGCTATGTTGCAACTGACTGGGGCACGAACCCGACCTATAAAGTACTCCTCATTAATAAACTATATGATTAATAAACCCATTTATGACTAACCGAACATGCACTGGGTGCAGTTTCTCAGACTTTTTAGGTTGATTTTCCACGGTGGAACTGCTGCCTTCCTTGGCGGTTGGTTGAAGCGATGCTCCGGGAGACTTTGATCTCGTCTTCATGTGAGTTAAACGACGCATGAGTCCTACTGCACCGGATGATGTGCTGGATGATGCGCCGGCTGGGGCTCCGTTCGTTTCCTGTTTGGGCTCCGACTTTCTGCTGAACAAGGCTTCCACAGGCTTTGTCCAAACGGAGCAAGTAGTGGTTGTGGCGTTTGCAGTCGATTGTTGCTGTCGCGGTGGCAAATCAGGGGGCTGCATGGGCAGCATATTATTGAGCCGCACGTCCTGAGCCCCTGGCTGCTGTTGAGCATGCACTAGTTGAGTGTCTGGATTCTGTGGAACATACTTCCACTGGTGCATTAACTGCTGTTGGTCACGAGTCCGCAGCGGTGTCAGGTAGTTGCCAGGAAACACGCCAGTGATATCCAGCCAATTCTTTCCCTTAAACCATCCATCCACGCAGCGTTCGGTCACAATGTACACACAGCCTTTCTTCAGTTCGAGTTCATCTGTTTGGCGAGGTTTGTATGGGAAAAGGGCCAAGTATCCCCAGGGCAGGGTGGGAGGCAGCTGTTGCTGAACGGTTGTTTTCAGTACACGGGAGGATTGCGAAGCGTTGGTTGGCTTTGGGACCACCTCCAGACGGCTGAGCTCATGGGGCAGGCTTAGAATTTCGGCGGAATGGCGATTCGTTTGCAACAGGCTCAAAGGAGCGCCTCCACCCAGCAAAGCGTTAAGGGAGTGGCGTTTTTCTTTGGCGCCTTTGTCCCGGAATCGAACTGAGGACGAACCAGAGGCTACAACATGCTGGGGCGTGTTCGGTAGCGACGACTGGTGGCTGGGGCTGCAGTTATTGGAGCTGGATGTAGAGCTGGAATTGCTGCTGGCTGGCGTGACGTTTGATGAGCCGGAACTGGATTCGGTAGGCACAGTGGGATCGATTACTGGAACAGGCGGCAACGCGCGCTGCGCCGACTGCTGTGGAGGATGGCACGGTGGATGGTTGATCACTCCGCTATCGAGTAGCTTCTTTGCGGCAGCGTTCAATTCGACAAAGGCTATCGGGAATATTCCAATGGTCTGGCCGATACGACCTTCTGCCCAATTGTGATCTACGCGGCGAAGTACATGGATGACCGTGCTCTTCTTGAACTCCAGGCAGCCCTCTTCGTCGTTGGGACCCATCTTGAAGTCGTACATAGCAATACACTGCGGCATAGGCAGTGGCACGGCCACCTTTACATAGTTGATGGGAAAGGTGCCCTCCTGGCCGTTTGCCTGTCCCACGAACCAGTTGTTGTCGATGCGGTGCTTCAGCAGTATCAGATCCCCCTTCTTGAACTTTAGATCGCTAGCCTCCGTGGAGGTAAAGTCAAACAGAGCGTAAGCGTGGGGGAGAAGAAAGCGGCGCGGCTTTTGCCTAACTTGCTGAAGCTGCGATTGCTGATGCGGCTGTTGGGAGGGTGGATTTTGGTGCTGTGATTGCTGATGTGGACTACTAGACGCTGTTGCTGGCTTCTGCGGTTCCGTTTCGGTCTCCTCGCCTCTGTTGTCTCCTTTCCCAGAAGCTGCATTTTGTTTCATGCCTATTAAAAAAATAATAAATATATTTGAGATCAGACTGTCAAGCAGTTGCGGTTCAATTGCGAAATCCACTCAGCCGCACTCAACTAGTCAAGCATTCCGCCTTTCAAACCCAAGCGTAGGAAGGTGCTTCTTATGAGTTCGGCGTGGGCGAATCCTCTTACCTTCTAAGATACGCATCAGCAATACATTCGGAGGCAACTCGTCGATTCTGGCTGAGACCAGGATCCGGCATTCCGGGCAGCGCAGCTTGTGCTGGCTGGCTACAATGTCCTATAGTGGATTTATTAGATTTAGATCATTTGTAGGCAAGGAGAGAAGTGGTGGTGTTCCCAGTAGTGTACTTACCTGTAGACATTTGCGACAGAAGGTGTGTTGACAGGGGAGAACCTTTGAGGTGGTGTCCAAACGCTCCAGGCAAACGGAGCACTCCAGCAAGTCGTTCAACGTGTGCTCATCCATCGCGCAAATATGCAAAAGCTTGCCTCAAGGATGGTCACTATTTGGGTTTGAATTTCGTGCAGGGCAACATTCCAAAACGCACACATACACACTATCGCAAGCACACACTCGCACACGCAACTTCAAGTCGCGCTTAGGAAATACTTTTTGAATTTTTTTTAAACTACTCACTACCGATTGTTTCCAACTCTACGGTTTACATTTTAATACTTGGCTAGACTAATTCAAGCTTGAAAAAGATTCTTTAATTCTATTAAATGCAGCCGAAGCTCGTGGTCGTGCAAGCGGATATGTATGCACACGGATATAAAATAAAACCAGCTTGCTGGAACTACAGTGGAGGCCACATGATTAGAATAAACTTAAAAATTGTTCAGTGCATTTTCATAATGATAAGTGCTGAAAAATATAAAATAAAATTACATCTCACGTATATATTAAGAGCCAAACAGCAAGAAATATAAAATTTTCTTATTAAATATAATATATTCCTCATAAACAAACTTTAACTCTGGCTTTAAACTTGTTTTCTTTGCTGTTTGATAGTGTGACCAGAAATTTGCTACGAAAAGTGTTGGAAAACAGCAGTCCAGTTCTGTAAAGTGTTTTTGTTTTTGTTTCTTTTGTTTTCTTCTGTTTCAGCCAAACACGTGTGTTTTGGTTTGAGGGGACCGAGGAAATATATTTTAGTTTTCTTTTGGAGGATCAAAGCACGCTAAATCACCATGCCGAAGGTTCGCAGCACCCCGGGCAAGCCCCGAACCCAGGGATTTAACCACTCAAATCACTCGATGAATCCGGAGAGACCCAAGAGTGGGCTGAAAGGGGTAGCCCACCCCCGCACTAAGGGAACTATTAAGCGGCTGCAAATGTACCGCAATTTCAAGGCCAAGCGCGATCGAACAGGCAAGATCCTTACTCCTGCTCCTTTCCAGGTGAGTTCTTAAACGGTTTGCCCGGTTATATAATTGAATTTGCTATGTATAAGAGGTCTTGAACGTAAATAGGGTCAAATTCGCCGCTTAAAAATTTATCATTTAAAATAACTGATATTTTTTTATTTTGGACATTAGCTTTATTTATAAAACTAAGTCTAACAATAAATGAAATGCAGTGGTGGTTATACATATATTTGTTTGAAATAAAACAAAAATTATCTGCCCTTACAAAAGACAAATATTTAAAAAGAACAACTTTCAAAAGATGCATTTGGCATTTGTTACATTCCTCTTTGTTTCATATTAATTAAAATAACAAATTCATTTTGTGTTTAAGATGGAAAATTTCAAGCTATTTCCCTGGTTACTACAAAGGGTATTCATAAAAAAAAACTCCAGAAGCCATTAAAAGACTTAAGAACTAATCCTGATGTTAGTAGCTGTCGTCGCTGTCGTAATATGCGTTACCTCCGGTATTAGCAGGAGTATATCCACTAGCACCATATCCACTAGTACCGTGTCCACTAGAACCATATCCACTAGCACTGTGTCCACTAGTACTTTGTCCACTGCTACTAGGAGCTGAAGAGCTAGATGACATTATGCCACTGCTGTAAATTTTGCGCACATCACGCCAATTAGCAAACTTTTTGCAAATCGGACATTGGCGATTCATGCGTACACATTTACGGATGCAATTTCTTCCAAACAGGTGGCCGCACTTCAGCGACGCAAGACAATGTTCGCCTTCTGTAGACCACTGGAAGAGGCAGATGGAGCAAGTGTTGTTTTCGGACATGTTGCCCAGCTGCAAGTTGAGCTCCTTCACTTCCTTGTTCAGATCGTCGAGATTGTCAGTGCTGTCAGCCAAAGCGTCGTCAAGTGCTTCGTACAGTTCCTGCTTCTCATTCTCCAGCTCTTGAATGATCATCTGCATGGACTTTTCATGCTCATCGAACTTCTCCTGAATGGTGGCGTAGTTGCACATCTCCTGTTGAAGCTGGAGCAGTATATCCTCCCGTTCCTTGTTGAATTTCTGCATTTGCGCGTTCACATCTTGGAGCTGACGCACTTGCCCCTCAGGGCTGGCGTTTCGGCGTGGCTGCCCTTGACCCGTGTTTTCTTGGTTCTCCTGCAACTCTTGCACCAGATCGTTCATATTGCGGATGTTCTGTCTCATCTGCTGCGACAAAGTATCCGAAGATCTTGATCCCGAACCAGACGGAGTCATTTCAGATCCTAACTTTGAGTTTTTAGGAGGCATTGCTGACCTTGTGTCGTCTCAAGAAAATGATTTTAGTGGATTCCCTTGTTCTTAAACATGTGCAGCTTGGCAAGTCCAACGATATCGATTGTAAATAGAGACGAACAGGAAGAGCAAAGTCGATTGTAAAACAGGAAAGTTCGATAACATTGCAATTTTCATCCCTAGAAGTCCGTTAAGTTTGAATTCATGGAGTTTGAGCAACTAACCTTTTTTTAAATTATTTTGTTGATAATGCTTTAATAGAAAATAATTTAAATAAACCAAAATGTATTTTTATAGGGTCGCCTGCCAGCGGGCACCATGGCCAGGGTGGAGCCAACTCCCAAGTGGTTCAGCAACTCGCGTGTCATATCACAAACAGCGCTGCAAAAGTTTCAGGATGAGATCGGCAAGGCTGTCAAGGATCCCTACCAGGTTATTATGAAACCTTCCCAGTTGCCAGTCACTCTTCTCAATGAGGCGGCCAAATACAAAAGGGTGCATTTGCTCGACACTGAAAGCTTCGATAGTACCTTCGGTCCCAAGAAGCAACGCAAACGGGTGAGCCTGAAGGTTAGAGATCTGGAGGATCTGAGCAAAGCAGCCGATGAACAGGCCGATAAATACGATAGCACTAAGGATGTGGACCTGATCCGCGAGGATACCGGAGAGAAGAAAGCTGTTAGGGATTGGGTCTTTGGTGCTGGCCAAAGTAAACGTATCTGGAATGAGCTGCATAAGGTGGTCGATGCATCTGATGTGTTGCTTCAGGTCCTGGATGCCCGCGATCCCATGGGCACCCGTTCAAAATATATCGAGGAGTTCCTCCGAAAAGAAAAGCCCCACAAGCACCTTTTCTTTATCCTGAACAAGGTGGATTTGGTTCCCGTCTGGGTTACCCAGCGTTGGGTGGCCATCCTAAGCGCGGAATATCCGACGATTGCCTTTCATGCCTCCTTGCAGCATCCCTTTGGAAAAGGTAAGCTGTTGTTCACGAATCATTTAAAATCATTTAATTTTCACTGTTTTCTCTTAGGTGCTCTCATAAATCTGTTTCGGCAGCTTGGAAAGCTGCATTTGGACAAAAAGCAGATTAGCGTGGGCTTCATTGGCTACCCAAATGTTGGAAAGTCTTCGGTTATCAACGCCCTGCGCTCCAAAAAGGTGTGCAATGTGGCTCCGATTGCGGGTGAAACTAAAGTGTGGCAGTACATTACGCTCATGAAGCGTATCTTCCTGATTGATTGTCCGGGCGTGGTGTATCCCTCGGCTGAGACGGATACTGAGAAAGTCCTTAAGGGTGTGGTGCGTGTGGAGCTGGTGACAAATCCCGAGGACTATGTGGAAACTGTCTTGCAGCGGGTGCGCCCCGAATACATCGCCAAAAACTATAAAATCGATCAATGGAACACGTCAACCCACTTCTTGGAACAGCTAGCCCAGAAAACGGGCAAGTTGCTTAAAGGAGGTGAGCCAGACGTCACGGTTACCGCTCGCATGGTACTCAACGATTGGCAGAGGGGTAAATTACCGTTTTACGTGCCCCCAGAGGGATTTGCAATTCCCAAGTCCCAGGAGGGTAAGAAAGAAGAAGAAGATGCCTCCGAAGATCCAAACGCGGACGCCAAATCCGAGGCACCTACGTTTGTTAGTGAGTCTGTAAAGAAGGCTCGCGAGTTCAAGCAAATCCAGGACTTCCGAAAGATCCGGGTTGGCTTGGAGTACGAGCAAAAGGATGTACGTGAGCTCGATCACATTGACCTGGAGCTTCTCGAGCAGCAAAAGGCCGAGAGAGCAGCTCGCAAGAAGGCTCGTGCGCACAATCTCGGCGACGCGGAGGAAGACTCAAGCGATGGGGCCAGCGACTTTTACTCCGAGGATGAGTACAACGAAGATCTGCAGCGTGTGGTTCACAAGAAAGCCAAGGCAAAGAAGACACAGCAGCTTGCCATCACGTCGTCTGGTAAATTCCGTGTGGCTAAGGTACAACCAGGCGATTCTGACGATGCGGCGGGTAGCTCCGATGACGATGGCCCTAGCAGTGCCAAGGCTCCCCGACTGACTGCCAAACAGAAGCGCGCCCTGGAGCGCAGCCAGAAGCGCAAGAAAATTGGAAGTAATTTCTACGAGACGACCAACGTGAAAAATAGGAATCGAAACAAAAAAAAGGATGCGTAACTTGATAAGTTTACGTTCTAGGCTATATTTTCTGTTTTTTCAAAGGAAAGAGACTTCGTATTAAGATTCCCATAAAAATGTTTTATCCTACTCGGCGCACGCTTTCTTCTTGGGTATTTTTCGGCCGCATAGGTCGGTTCTGGTGCAATGGTCATGTTCATCCGAATCCGTGCTAGCTTCCGAATCGCTGGACTCTGTGTAGGATCCGATGCCTGGCAGCACGCCGATACACTTCAATGCCCCCTGGTCGTACTTATCAGTGATCAGGGTAGTGGCAGTTGTTGTGGGTTTCTCCTCAGGTTTGGCTACTTTGCTAGAGCTGGTTGGTAGTTCACCATTTTTCCTTTTTATGCCCTGGCCGAGTAATGACTTTTGGCTATTGCGCCCTGCCAAGGTGCCAGCTGATTTGGCTGTGGTCTTTATCTCCGCCTTCAATTTCTGTAGATTTCAAAAAATGTGGTTATAACTCAAATGGAGACGGATGATAGGCATTTTTTTACCTTATCGACACTTTCCTCCTGGAGCTTTTCGACCCGATTGCGAAAATCCTTGAGTTCTAGCTCCTCGTCACGCATTTGCTGGCGCTCACTGTTTATTTTGTGGGCATCGACCAGCTCAAGGAATTGGACCTCGTCGTCGTCCAGACCGCGTATAAGGTTCTCTGAGTTTCGAAAATGTAAATGGAGATGAATTCTAAAAGGAAATCCAATAACATACTAAGTTTATGGGCTTCCTCGTACTCCATGTCCTTTTTTGTCTTGTTGTCTTTGAGGCGTTCGTACAGAGACCTTCCATCGTACGGTTCCTCTGGTCGTTCAAGGGGATCTTCCGGCTGGCGCACACGTTCCCATTCTTCCTGACGCCTCTTGCGGACTTCGGCTGCTTCTGCCTCTGTTACAAAACCAGAACTCATCTTTTAATCGTGTAATTTCTTTACTTCAATCCAGTCACAAATGTTTTGACAGTCGCCAGTGTTGAAAAAAGTTTGAATAATTTAGTATTATATAGCATGTGAACACAGGGCCTTGGGCAAGTGCTGGGTAATGTTCCATGTTTAAGTATTGCAAAGCGTGAGACAATTTAAAAAGATGCCGCGAATTATTCGGTTCGATGATACTTTGGTGATTAAAAATGTACATTAATCCAAAGACATTCGTGATTCAAAAATATTTTTTTGATAATTGCTTCCAATTAAATGAAGTTTTTACGGTGACTTAAAAATGCTCCTTGACGGCGCGTGGAATTCTTTTAATAAGACACCGCCTGACTCCACCAACAGGAAGGCCAAGACGCGGGGTTTTATTCATTCTCGACCGATTTATCTGGGCAATTTCGATGAACACAGACTTCTGATCCGGAGTCATTTGGCGCCACTTAATGCCAGCCACTTTACTTACGACCGTGGGCTTTAAATTACAGATGCCGCGCTTCTGAAGATTACTCCGGAAGTGATCGAGGAATACGAAGTACGGGTTCACAGTTGGGGATTTTGTCAATCGCATGGCACATGCGAATGTGGAGCAGCACCAACTGAACTTTGTTGCCGACATTTTCTACAAAATTAAATTTCTACAACGAATTTGGCTATTCTGCTCGAAATTTCTCGGGCTACATAATTTTATTTTTCGGAAACATACACAAATATATAGAGAGGAGGGGCTCGGTTGCTAATATCTCCAATAAAGAGCTACAGGATAGCAAAATACACGATATTAATATGCACATATGCAGGCTTTTGAGTAAGTTCAAGACGGTTCAGCTTTCTTTTGTTTAAACTTTCATAAATAATCGCCCATCCATTTGTATATATTCAGTTTATAGACATAATTGAGGTCAGCACACTTACAACGAACATCAAATAGTTTATGCGGTGTATGCCGGCTGAAACATCAGCCGCACTTCGCAATTGAGTATACTGTAAAGGATTAATACTGCTAGGATAGCGTCCGTCTCCATGGAGACCTACAAAATGCTGCAGGAGCTCTTCTCGCGGAACGGATTCACCTTCTGAGTGAAGCCGCTCAGTAGGCAGTCCTCCTCCTCGTGCTCCAGCATGTACTTCATCATCAGGGAGCAGGCCTCCGACACGGGCATCCGTTCGATCCCAACCTCCCGCCGCAGCTGCGAGTTTATGGAGCGCTGCTGTTGCAGATTCGCAGCCATGATGTCCAGGACGGCTGTCTCCGCGAGACCTATGGTGGATGCTGGAATACTGATACTGCTGTCGGATACGGCACCTGGATCTGGATGCTGTTAATTAGCCCCTGGTTAACAATCTGGAATATTTCCGATTCAATTTTCACCCTACCTTTCGCAGCTATAACGGGGACGTCGGTGAAAAATCAATATTTACAAAAGTGTGCCCACTTTTGGCTTAATGGCGGGCGATTTTCCGGCTTTTTCTGACCATTTTTCATTTTTCAAAAAATACGTTAGAGCGTAATTTCAAACAAGTTGAAATTTCTATGCGTTTTTTATGAAAGCTCCTTATTCCTTAAGAAATTGGACGTACCCCTTTATTGCCCTTTGAGTTAAAAACATTATTTAGCATTTCTTAAAATGTATTGATATTTTTTTATTGTTATTTTATTTCAGTTTTTTGTACACTTTTTTAGGTATTTCATTGCAAAAATATATATATCCTGTTTTATTATTATGTGAGCATGCTGGAAGAATATAAATCATGATGACTTGAAACTTGGTTTGGATATCATCACCTACTCGGTCATAAAGTTAGTTGAAAGCTTTCCAGGTTCTTTTTCCAAATTAAGATTTGGGTCGTTGGCCAGATCAGCGTTAGGTTTCCGGAAGGCATTAGCCATCAGAAGAATGTTCTTGGCTATGCGTTTCTGGTCGATGCGCCTCTGGGCCGTATCCGTCCTCCTGTCGGCGTTCTCCGACATTCGTTGCTCCAAAGGAAGATCCGCAGCCGGCGGAGTTTGCAGAGGTTCCGGATTGGTCCAAATCTCGGTGCCGGGGGTTTCTTTCCCCGTGGTGGGAGATATGGCCGGTCGGGCTGGTATTAATGGGGAACGCACACAAACTCTGCGGAGATATTAACAAGTTGGACAGACAAAGGATGGAATGATTTTTGAATTTAATAGGCATTGTCGTTCGCAGAAACAAAAACAAACGTTTATTACAAATTCTTACATAACTAGTCACACTCTAGAGTTCTTTTTCAAAAACGTTTACAAACACACTTTCCACAAAAAACTACATAAAATGTAAAAAATGCTGGTATATAATAGTTTAATCCTTTTTCGTCTGGTCTGGCTGCTCCTTGCCCGGCTCACTGTCCTCGTCCCCGCTCGGTTTCGATCTAGAACGAGTCAGAAATGGGAGAGAACAATGAGCCAAGTTTCGGAGACAAGACGCCATCCAGTGGCGGATTTAAGGAAAAAGGCCCAGTGGGCAAAATTTTTTCAGGGTACATTGAAGGGTATTTTGAAGGGTACAGCCCAGAAAATTTGACAAAAAATCTTAAAAATATTTTGTTCCCAGATTTTGATGCAGATTTATGGAGAATCGATCCACAAATCGTTTAAGGTATTCCGTTCAAGAATCGGGTGAATATTTCCTAAGATATGGCCTTCGCAGTGGGTCATATGGGGCTCCCCATGCATTTTTCACATTTTGAAGGGGACAACCCAGAAAATTTGACAAAAAATCTTAAAAATATTTTGTTCCCAGATTTTGATGCAGATTTATGGAGAATCGATCCACAAATCGTTTGAAGTATTCCTCTCAAGAATCGGATGAATATTTCCTAAGATATGGCCTTCGCAGTGGGTCATATGGGGCTCCCCATGCATTTTGCACATTTTGAAGGGGACAGCCCAGAAAATTTGACAAAAAATCTTAAAAATATTTTGTTCCCAGATTTGGATGCAGATTTATGGAGAATCGATGCACGAATCGTTTAAAGTATTCCGTTCAAGAATCGGATGAATATTTCCTAAGATATGGCCTACACAGTGGGTCATATGGGGCTCCCCATGCATTTTGCACATTTTGAAGGGGACAGCCCAGAAAATTTGACAAAAAATCTTTAAAATATTTTGTTCCCAGATTTTGATGCAGATTTATGGAGAATTGATCCACAAATCGTTTAAGGTATTTTGTTCAAGAATCGGATGAATATTTCCTAAGATATGGCCTTCGCAGTGGGTCATATGGGGCTCCCCATGCATTCTGCACATTTTGAAGGGGACAGCCCAGAAAATTTGACAAAAAATCTTTAAAATATTTTGTTCCCAGATTTTGATGCAGATTTGTGGAAAAGAAATCGAAGGTGTAACTTTCAGCACGAGGGGCCCTGAAAGCCTTTCGTCGGGGGGGGGGGCCAGTGGGCAAGCGCGCCTTTGCCCACCTGTTAAATCCGCCACTGACGCCATCCCATCCGGACTCGCATTCCGAAGCCACCATAATTCCCTTCCCCATAAAGCCACTCACTTGTTCACATCCTCTAGTTTCTTTAAAAGTCGCTCATTTTCCCGGCACACGATTTCCTGATCCCGCAGAATCGTCTCCCGCACGGTGAACAGGTGGTTGTTCTCCTGCCGCAGTGACTCGTTCTCAGCCATGTAGAGCTTAACGAGCTCCGCCAGCTCAGAGCCATCCAGTTCGGGCAGCCGCTCCAGATCCACCTTGGGCACTGGAATGGGCACGGCACCACTGCCCACGCGATCCAGTTGAACCTCCAAAAGATTCTCGGTGGGCGCACTGCCATTCGTCGCCGCCTGGTGGTGGAGATTGAGGGCGGCCTTCAGGTGATCGTTTTCCAGCTGGAGGGCATGGATGTCGCGCTTCAGACTGAGGATTAGTGCCTCGCGGGGATCCATCATGATCACCGGTTTGGTGCGGATTCGCTTCGCACGAGAGGCATATCGCAGGGTGTTCAAGGTTTCCGCATGATTGTAGTGGGCCGGAGAGACGCAGGCGATCATCAGAGTTACGCCGTTCCCAGCCAGGCTGTCGGCCAGCAGCTTGGTTAACTGGCTGTCCCTGTACGGTATATGACCCGATCTTCTCTTGGCATCGCTCAGTGAGGAGATGCAGTAGCCCAGGACCATAAGACTCTTGTTTATGTTGTTGGCCTCCTCCAGGGTCTTGCCCTCGCTCATGGTCTTCTTGGTCAGTTCGCTGCCGGCAAGGTCCACGAAGTTGATTTTTCCATGCTTGGAGAGGAACACCCCGCCGTCCGTCTGTTGGTCGGACAGGATGTGCACGGTGAGGATGGTGTGGGAACGGGAGGAGTGATCGTTCATGGCATGCGATCCAACGGCTCGATTTCTCATTCCTAAGTTGGGGGTTTCAAATAAATTAAAATCAATCATATGCTTATGAAATTACAGAGAACTTACCTTCCTCCAAAACGGCCAGTAGATCATCCAGTTCCTCGCAGTCCACCGTAAAGAGGTTCTCGACAAAGAAACCCCCCGATTTCTTTGACCATCGCACCGCCAGCGGTTTCCGAGCACTTCCCGGATTAAGTAAATCGATTACCTGTACAAGTCGGTTAAAAAATTCAATTCAATTTGCGAAACCAATAAGTAAATGGTGGAGGTGGCCAAGGAAAACAAATCATTGAAAATGCCACGCAAAATGCAGAAACATTTCACGCATTGTGACAAACCAGGAAAGGTTATTTGGGTGGCCGGTCAATGCATAGAAACTGCCATGGAAGGAAGTGGTTTTGGGGAGCAGGGAGCGTGCTGACATCCATTAAATAGAGGTCAATGGAAGCATGTTTGCGGGCAGGCCATCAGGATTATGGCGAATGCAATTTCGATTAAAATTAAATGGACAGAGGTCGAGCCTTGGACAGCGATGCAATTAGAGAAAATGGCAAGTTCTCCACTTACCCGTTCATTGTATATCTCCATGAACGAGGCCTTTAGCACGTAATTGACATCCTTGCGATTTTTAATCAACTGGAAGAGATACACAAACGAGCGGAAGATGAGGCCGTGGCGTGGATCTTTGGGATTCGGTTTACCAACGAACTGAAATATTAAAAAAATTAGAAACAAAATCAATGAAAGCTTTGCCAACATACCAGCTCCGGTGGCCCCGTAAGAGTATGCGTTTTTCCTGAGCCCGTTTGGCCGTAACAAAACGCCGTACAACTGAATCCCTCGATGCCCATTTCGATGATGCGCTTTATGCCCGAGTAGTCCAGGATATCTTCCTGGGTGGCTCCTGGCTCGAAGACCACATTGTAGGTGAAGACGCGAACACTGTCGCGATTGTGCGACCGCTTTTGACCCACATCGTTGCCCTCGATCTGCATAAGGATGATTCCAAGTCACTCGGGTTTTAGGGAGTTATGGTAAAATGTTAACTTACTATGACCTGCCCGTTGCCGGGAAATTGTAGGGTCGAACCATGACGGTCGCGTTTCTCCTTCTCATTAAGCGGTCGAACTCGAACCACAACATTAATGTTGTCCTCGGGCGTGGAGCATTCTTCACTGCCGGTGGATTTGGAGGCCACGATTTCCAGGGTGTCAGAGCTTCCAATTCTAGTTAACATACAAGGATATTTTAAATATTTCATAGTCATATTAATAGGGGAGTCTCTGACTCCCTCTGCAGTAGAATGCCAAACATACTCCTAATCAAAGTTAATCAATCAAAGTGAAACAAAACATTCACTGTTTTATGGATTCGGTATTTTATGGCTAATGCGAATTCCGAGTATATTGTGGGCTTGCCTTGAACTTGTTGGTCCCAAAATAGTCAAGGTTAAGGGTAGATTGCATGGCCAGTGGGTTTTTTTTTCTGATTCGCACTAAGTCGCAATTAGTTGTGTTTCTGAGAGGGTTCAGGTAGCTCCCATTTTAATAAGGAATCTGGTACCACGGAATTTTATCGCTTTATGGAAATATGCAAATAGAAATCATTAAATTATTCACATGAATTACTCCAAGTTTTGGTTTTGCTTGATACTCAACCCAGTAATTAGTGGTATACCACAAAACCCTAGAAAGTTTCCAATACAAATAGTTTATTGAACTGAAAAGGAGGCCGGGCCACACGGCGTATGTGTAATGTACCATCTTTGCGTGTTTGTATGTGGCTGAGAGCTGACATTTAACATTTTCACGTAAATGACTTGTTAAACATTCATGTCCTAATGGCCATAGCCTCATGAACGTATGTACATACATACATATATTAATCAGACGTGAGTTGGGCCTTTCGGTGTGCACTTGGTAAATATTTCAGAAGGCGCCAATGGAGAAAAATTAA